ATTTTATGAGGTACACAGAACGACCATTTAAATAGAGAAACCAATATCCTTACTGATCACAAACTTTTAACTACAAACTATTTAAAATGATAAACGCGCAATATAGCTTCATTATTCACTGTGAGCTACAATCGTTGTTTTCTTATATTTCACTACCACTTACCCTTTAGCGGTTTCACTTTAAGCAATGTAAATGATGACGTAGGTATGAACCACATTTCAGTATTTCCTCCTGCAACCAAAAACACTACACGTACCCATTTCAGTAATAAAACGATTCCAACTAATGTATTTGAAATACAATTATTACGTAAGTAATTAACTATGACAAAAATTATACCATACTGCATTCTTCTTTCAATATTCTACATATGAATCATTATATTAAATAAAATCTTCATATGAAGATGACAGCCATGCATATCAAGTTATGTTTAATTTTTTTGTCGGGTACTATTTTCCATTGTGGAGATTTTCGGAGGAAACTTTTCCAAAGTGTTTGAAAAAAATGTTTTGTAACATTTACAAAACTTCGCCATTTTCAGTTTCCAATTTACTCAGAAACTTGTGGATCGTTTAAAAAATTTAATTAGAAATTCTTTGAACCTTATGTTTTGACAAACGCATTAAACAATGAAATATATCTACAACGTAGATTTTATCTTCGTGACAGAGATTTTTAACCACTTAAATTGATGTAGTTTTTCAAAAATCAAAAGAATACAGCATAATGTTTATGATACAGTGCTCTATTCATACGAAAAGTTAGAAGAATCAATTTGGAGACATTTTTGAGAAAATCTTGTTTTTATATATTTTTGTAACATCAGCCCAAATTCAATCGAAATTGCTAGTTAACTGTTACAATTTTCAAAACATGTATATGAAAGTAATAAAAGAACTAATTATCGACAATAAATTTAAATCGAAGGATTAACCTCTATCTTCAGTTTTGTAGTTGTAGGAAGATGTCGAAAAAAATTCATACTTTTAAATGTTCGTGTTAAAGTCAAGAAAACGCGACATCAGTCCAGTCTAAGAGATTAAATTTCAAATGATTTATCAAAATTCATAAAAATCCTTTGGAGAGTTTAGGCGCTAGTTTTGGCCAGAGACAGACTAGCGGACAGACAGGTGAACAGATAGAAAGAGAGACATTTTATCCTAAAACAATTTTTCGGTTTCAAATACTACTAAAACTTGGATTATGACTACAAAACGTATTAGAGAAAGTTATGACTCATCTTACTAAATAAATTATTTTGGATACAACAAATATTCACATCACGAGAAAAGATGTACCACAAACAAAAATATATACGATTATCTTCCGTTGATACCATTTTAGCATTTTTTTTTCTCTTCTTCTTCAGTTTCATTCCTATTTTCTCCTTTCTGTCATCAAGACAATCTACTGTCGCTTCTTCTCTGACCTTGGCAGCTTGTGGCCGTCGCTTACATTCGCTCCTGGGTGCCTCCCACGCTAGAAGTCCCCGCCTACATCGTCGGAACGCATAACTCATACGTAATAGAATGTTTCAGCGTGTGACGTAATGTAGCGTGCTCATGATTACCTTTTGTTTTTCTCTTGTTTATTCGTTCTCTTGCGTCTTGTCCTTTACGCTCTCGACTAAGAGTTCTTTGAGAGATCTGAGATGGAATGATCTCTTATTTTACAAGTTTTATCAAGTTATAAGTAATTATGGTTTCGTGACATAATTTTTAAATAAATACAGACGGAAATATAACCAAAACATCTGTAAAATAATGTAAATATTATTTGCAGGAAAGAAGTCCAATCCGACGATATTGAATAAGCAATATTTCGAAAGCGATAAATGAGCAATAACTTGTATTTTCTGATATAGTGTATTCATTCTAGAAGAAGTTCTTATAAGGATGTGATTTGAAAAAGACAGTAGAGATTCAGTCGTAACTGAAACACTAGTAACGAAAGTCACAGAAGATGATGTGACGCGAGTACAGCCGAACCAAGGAAGAGTAGGAGAGGAAAAACAAACTAGCTACAATTAATTAATTAGTATTTCCGGACGCGTCAACAAAAAAGGTCTAATTAGTCCTGTAAGTGTAGTCCCATAAATATATTTCCAAGGCAGCATTAAATCGAGTTCAAAGCATGTTTATACTTCACTAAAGGAACTTCGAATATACAGACGGACACTGATACACTCACATATTTATAAATATCTATTCATTTAAGTTTTATTTTGAATGAGTCCTCTGATATTTCTTGCTTTTACAGTGCGCCGCAGCTTGTGAGACATACGGGAATCTTGATCGCCAGTCAACCTTCGCTTGGAGACCATTCGAATATCATAATAATAATAATAATGATAATAATATCAACAAAATAATAATATAATATAACATACCACACTAAGAACAGAATAAATGATTTATGTTTTCATTTTATAAAGGAATTTGGGTATCGTATGGCATATACATATAACATCCACTAATTAGTTCCATTATATATTACATTAATTTCAAACGTAATAATTCAATTGTGCCAGAAATACATTTTTCTGATGTAGGAGGTAACAATGGGGTAAACTCATGTTTATAGCAATGCAATTAATTTATTGATTTTATATTTTGTTATGTATTGTTGTGTATTATTTGAAATGTCTTAATAGTTTATTGTTTTGGTATAAACCATCGTCCTGGTGATATACCAATATCTCTTCAGCCTAACAAAGCTTTTCGTTTGTTAGTGTGCCTTTTTCTTTAGTCCCTTGTACTTATATGTAACGCTTCACTGTGTACCACCGCCCGTCCCTCACCATAGTCCAAACAAACCCGCCTCGGCCCACGCTTCTCATGGGCGATCGCAGTCGCGTTTTGCTTTTGCTAAATATGCTAATTATAAAGGTACTGTTAAAATGAAATGCAACGTGTTGCAGACGGGGAGGTGGGGGGAAAATTTAAAAAAGGACAAAAAAAAGAGAATCATTGCCCAAAATAATATTACTTTATTTTGCAGAGGAAATGTTTGTACTTTCTTACTCAGTTAATCCCTTTAAATCTCTATTAAGAAGGACTTTCAACACTGGGAGGGTAGCTGTCATCACTCTCCGAAATTAAACCTCCACTAGGGTCAAGCAAATTCGTCTATTTAAAAAAGTCCGTACCGCACGGAGTGCAGAAGGAAAAAAGCTTCGTAGCTAAAAGGTTAAAAGAAGTCGTTTCCCTTGCTGCAAACAGGGTTACAAATTCAAGATGGAGCTAAGAAGCTCTATGCGTTACATATTAGTAGCACCAAGTAATAGCACCATCGACTAAGGAGGCATCGTTTCTCTACGCTTGCACAGCTTGTGCCTGCAGGATACCGGCGACCCAGGCTGTGCCTGTTTCTATGACAACTTCCCTCAACCAATAAGAAAAGAGTAGTTTAGTTTTTTCCAGCTTTGGAGTTTGTTTGGCATGGAGGTTCCCGCGCGTTTGGCCTCCTGTGCACTCGTGTTGCGGTCATAGACAGTGGGTATGGTTGCGATGGATCCATTGTGTGACTTCTTGGCTGTCCGGGTGACGCCGCGTCGTTGGCTGAGAGGCCGACGTTTCATCTGGCTTCCTCAGTGTAGTGAGGAACACTTCGTCGCGACATGCGGATAAACGCGACATGCGGAAGCTTACGTGTACACGGATCCACTGTGTGGCAGACCCTGCACTTTATTGGATATAACAACATCTTTAATGCGAGTATACTTTTCGCGGAAAAGTGATCCTTAAAAAAAAGAATCTAATTCTTTTATTTGGAATGTCGCCAATAATAGTTTACCAGTATACCAGAGGTTGATTGGTTCCATTAATTTTCTATTTCACAAAATGATTCCGTGCCTGAATTTATCTGTGCCTTCCCAAGTATTGAGCCCATCGTCCACCACTGTCTTGAACATAAATATTATTACGTACTTTCATACATCCTATTAATGTGGAATGGAGTAAGGAGTGTAGTATTGCTGCAGCAACAAAACGGCGAATTTTGACAGAAAAACTCGTATTGTCGGGCCCTGACACCAAAAAATAGAATGAACCTTGTTCCAATATGTAGTAAATTACTCTCTCCAACACGATGTGCAGAATGTAATTACCGAATTGACAGTTGTGGAACCATTGCAATATGAGGAAATCAGGTTTAGCTGAAAATATGCGATTATTTTAAAAAGACACTATAATTTTGGTAGAAACGTGTTTTATTTTCTAAATAAATTAATTTACATTACAATAAGTTAAGCCTGAGCGGAATGAGGAGCATATCTCTGCTGCTCAGTGATGGTCGTAGTGGTGCGGGGGCGGGATGGTGGTGGGGCGGTGCTTGTGCGGGCGCGGGTGAGGGT